TATAGGACGCGGCTATGATCATAGAGAGCGATCTCGATCTTGTAAACGAGGAAGCTGATAGGCGGGCTGGCATTGCACGGCCATCACGGCAAAGGTGTTGCAACAGATTTTGTTTGATGAATATTTCCGTAACCATTACTGTTTTTAGTTCTCTGAGAAAGAGCTACAGCATTCGCAGTCGACGCGGTCAAAGCACTCAGCGTCCTTTGAGCTGTACACTATCCAGTTGTGCAGAGGTCTGAAGTGTGTCGTATTGCAGTTGAGAAGAATTAGACACTGTAGTAGCTAACAGAAATTCCGTTCCATTTGCTTTTATCATTCCTCTCGGCGGTTTGGCTTCAATTTGCCGTAGGAACAGAAGTCAATAATTTAGAGAGTGATAACCATAAACAGATTTGCAGCCTGCTGAAAGGTGGGATTAACACTCTCACAACTATGTAGGAAGACACTCTACCAATTTCATATAAATAAAAATCATTGCCATATTATCATTATTAATTCTTATGCGTAAGTGCTTGACATTTACGGTAGGATCTAGTATTCGGGAGAATTGAACGCTAAGGAAGAATTTTAGTAGTATGTAGTGTCAAATTGTCAGTATACGCAGAAGTCAATAATTTTATTGTAGCCGGCAACCACGTGTGATGACACTCATCTGACGACAGTTTCACAAGGTACTAATTCACGCAGAGCACTGAAGAGCAAGGAGTTTTGGGAGAAGATGTTTGCCTTGCAGTCTCAATGGATACAGTACTTTCATTTTTTTTTATTTCGCGAATTTTATTGTTCTAAAAGTTACTTCGACAATCTGCCCTTCAGAAAAGTCCTTTCTTCATCATATTCGCGATCAGCTGTTGCAGCTCATGTTCTAGAATGTTGGAAAACTCTTACGAAGGCATACTCATCTTTGAGCGTAAAGAACTTTCATTTTTGTTTTCTTCTTTGATTTTCTCGACTTTTGCGTTTGCTGTTCATAAAGGTGTTAGTCAATTCTATCGTTGAAGAGTCGTCCTATAGACCTGCAGAAATGTTTGCAACTATACGTGGTTGATGCTGTAAAATTGCTCGAATGCTTGATACAACGTGGTTATGATGTTGGGTATTCTTTCAGAGTTACTATTATTCTTAGAAACCATGATGCTAATAAGCACAAAATTTTTCAGGAAGTGTCAACACTCATGATCGAATTTATTAACACAGTTATGAGAACTTTCTTGAAAAACCCAAAGAACATGTGTGATTTTAGTCAGGCTTGGCTACAGACTAAAGAGGTTCGTAGTATTGTATACTTGGTATGTTATGTAAGTATGAATTTAAAGGTGCTACGTATTATCTGTGAAACACCGACCAGTGTGGAGGTACTTTGCGCCTTGTTAACAACCATTCAAGAGTTGAGTTTGCGGTAAGCATTGCATAGAAAAGCTCGTCTTCCTAACCTTCTATTAGTCATTGATTCTCTCTAGTTATCTGAAAACGAGAGCAGAGGATGCTGTTCAAGATACCGAGTCTATTTCTTACGCTATAAATCAGATGTGTGATCTTTCCAATCGCATCAATCAACGCATGCAACAATGTCAACGAAGAAAAGCTTACAGACTACTTTTCTAGATTCGTCCTCTACTTCTTAAAATTCCTTCTTCCCACTTCTCCTTTTGTTTTCTTTTTAGAAGAAAATTCTTGATC